TCGGCGAGTGTGATAGCAAACGGCTCATGAAGGGAAAGGGATTATCCTGGCCGGATTTTGCCACGTATGACGTTCGTTGGTCGTTCGGCCGCCATCACTCACTCACTCATTAACCCCCGTAGTTCACCGTCTAGGGGTCAGCAGCGTCTTTTGTCTCAGCGTTCCCTCACGTGGACCATTGTAATGAACTATGAGAGCGCAAGGCGACCTCTGTGCCTCTCTCAGTCGAAAAGGATGCTGTGGGAACGGCGGCAACGGCAGCAGCAGCAGCGTCTTCACTGAAGTGTGTAGGCAACAAATGTCATAGTCGGGATCTAAAAATTCCGCCCTCTCCACAGATCATCCGGGCGGGGTTGATTGAAATGCGCTTGAGGGAACCCAATTAGAAACCAATCGTGGCAAATTGCCAGGAAATACTAGACAGGATTTTAGCGGCCATCACCAAATCAAAATGCTAATTGCGAGTGGAATCGGGACAAAGAGCTAACGTCCTTCTATAGCAAAGCACTTCAAATAAATAAAGATTGTACTATCACGTCTACAAGCGTAGAATTAATTACGACCCTTAAAGGTGTACCACGGACAAAGTCAGTTAAATCACGGCTCATTTGCAATGTTTTTAGCTCTCATCCAGTAAGGGGGGGGAGGTGGCTCGACATTTTATATCACCTGATGTAATTGAATTTCGTGCGTTAAGGGGGAACGCCGGGGTTGTGTAAAAGCCAAAGCGGAATGGTTCACGCATCCCCGGGGATTTCCTGTCCCTGAATTTCCTGTCCCGTTATGCGACAGCAACTGTCGCATAACGCCCCCCTTATTGGATTAGACCTTTTTCCACAAATTCGATTTGGTGTCATCGAAACTGTAACGCAGAGTGGATCGAAAATGTCCACCTATTTGAATGACCACTGATGGTGTCATAGCCGTGTAATTAATTGTGCCCGGTGTTTGATCCACCGAATGCAATAGAAACGACACCAATTTTGATCACCGACATGTCTTTTGTCCTTTGTATGATTCAAACTAATTGCACTGCGAAGTTCATTTGTGTCACCGTTTCTATGACGTCAGATTAATTGTGATGAGTGCAGGGGATAAGCTAGACAATTTTATTCGACGGCTGGTCCGCAAAATTTGCATACATTATGCTTGTCGCGTATGCTACGTATAATGTTACAGTATCTAGTGTACCAAAACAAATATTGTTCCTCGGATTCCTTAGCGGCGATTCGTTTTACCGTATGTCACGTTTGACCTCCTCAAGGTGGTAACCCTTTCAAGGTAATTGTCTGTAAATTCGATTCGCACTACTGCGCGCGCGCATTCTCGAAAATTCAATCCAGGACACCCTGTCCTAGCCGATGAAAAGCGCCATCGTATTGCTGTCTATTCATCGGCGTGTTCATACGCGTGAAGAGCTAATGCGTCACGCTATCGGCCGCAATTACGGACATTTGAAGAAGTCCGACACGTTCCTGTTTAGAATGTTACTTTTTCCCCATCGTAGCCATATGTAGCGGTGGGATCACGTTGGCACTTGAGCCATATGTCCACCAGCGCGGTACCGAAATCCGAGTCACAACGCGTGGCTAATTGTTGCCACGGCTTATGGCAAATGTATGGTAACAGATTGTCAAGGGCCCGGTGGAACATGATCGGCGGAACGTGGGAATCACCGGGGATGAATGGAGTTCCCATGTGGGTACGGAGCAAAATGGTCAGAATCGCTAGGCTCAGAATTGTGAATACCGAATAATTGGGCTAACCTTGTGGGTAAATCGCCTTAGCAGGGCCTGGAAAGCCAAAAAGCATCTGAAGAGCTGCTTACTTATTGAGAGACGAACCAGGCTCGGGCTTCACACCTCAAAAGGTAGTTCGAGTGCCTTCAAAGTGAAATCGAAAGTGTTCCCGAAAAAGGAGGGGACGATACCCGAGGCGGTCAAATGTTGGCCTCCTGGCTTAGCAATCCTAATGATCTTAACTTATGTCCTTCCTGTCATGGCATGAGAATGATTCAAGAAGCCAATTCATCGAGTTCTGCGGCTACTCAAGTCATCTAGCCTTATGGTTCAGTCACAGGTTTTGGATGCTTATTGTTTAGTCACGCTCTCAGCCCAGCAAGAGTTGTTCCAGGTTTTACTCGCCTAGTATTAACGGTGCATAGTAGACAGGACCTACTTGCTTCCTAGCCAAGTAGGTCCTGGCGGTTCTCCCTCTGTACCGGCTCAATCCCCTCCCATATGTTGTGATGTTTTATACGACTTACGCTACGGGAGATTTCCAAGCGCAGTAAGGATTCAGATGTCGAATTTTGGTGGCTTAGCGTGGTCTGGATTAGACTAAATGAGGCAGAAATAAGGATTTTGAACCAGTTTATCCAAGATCAAGCATTCGTTACAGCGGATTTCAACTTATAATGGCTGCCAAACTCGAAGTGTTGTCAGGTTCCTAGAAAAAAACCGACGGATTCGTGCAAAAGAAACAGAAACGAGTTTGGACGGATTGAATTTCACTTTTTCGTGGCCTCGAAGTCCCGGGTTTGCAGTCGGCAATTATAACCAACGTTCTGATTAGCCGTCGAAGTTTCCGTGATGAGTGAAAGCGAGAGATAAATGCAGGGCCTAGCTGAGCCTTTCCTGGAGTCACATATGTAAAGATTCCTAGGAATTGTTCACGATTACGGTGAAACAAAGGCCGAGATCGTTCAGATCGGGAAATATCTGTGTTCAGATTTGCGCAACACCGTTTGGGGTGTAATTGGCGGCATCCCTTCCCCCAGAAGTGTCAGCTCAAATAAGAGTTCTGATAGTGATCGTGAATGCGAAGATCTGACTTGGCCTAAATGCGATTAGGTGAGGGGATCTTCCCGCTCGCCGCTGACCTCAGATACACACGTCGACATGGTTGTCCGGGCCCAGCACTCTTGCACACACATCTCCAATGCACTAATTGTTATTAGATAACAATCCGGGTCACTAATGGAACATCGAAGTGGGTCCTGCGGTGATTTACGTCGTCGCTCACGGTGTGAAGTAGATTCGCAGTACAGTCTAATCTGGGAAAATCTCTTGTTAGGCGATTTTGCAGATTGTTTAAGGGCTGATCTTAGGCATGTTGATTCGCAGGGGCAAATAGACCCAGTTTATGAAGTGTAAATTTGCGTCAATTAGAGAACCTTGGAGATTTTATCCTCTCGAAGAGCACTAATGGGGTTTTGAATCATACTGTAGGGACTCTATTATGGGCATCCTTTATGTAGAGGGAACTCTTTAGGTATGATGGAAGGAAAGTATGATTTCTTGATCTTCGAATTGTAAAGGCACAGCACCAGCGCGCAGCTTGCAGGACTGAGAAAGACGTCGAGATTTGGTGTAGTGTTGTGGTAGAAGGCGTCATCCCAGATAAATTGGTCGAGGTACGATCCCGTGCAGGGCCTGTAACACCTCCATCCCTTGTTTTGCATGACGAATCGGTACGTCAGCTTGATACTTTTTGCCACTACGGTCACTTAATGAGAGAAAGAATTAAGGTCTGTCCAATCAAATTGAATCCCCCCAAATGGGAAGAGAATTTTCGACGTCGTCATTATCACCATATTTAACTTTGATGATTGCTTGAAAAAATCCATTTTTCCGCTAAGTTAGCCCCACGGACAGCGGTAGAGCCCATGGAAAGATTTGAACTGGCGACTAACGTGCTAGCAAGAGCCAACCAAGAACGTGAGAAGGCGTTCGTGGATATTTGTCCTTGTTCTTAAGTCAGGTACAAGTTCGTGGGAGTGTAGGCTGCAGTTAAACGTTCGTTTCGCTGTTGGAGGGTATGGCACGGTATTTGCTTCTGCCTCGAGATTGCTGGGGTTGTAGTGTCTTCAGAGTGTCAAGTGGATATGCTCTGTTGTTCATTATCTATGTCGAGAATTGATCTCAACTACCGCAGTCGTGCCGAGAAGATCAGGCGTTTCAGTGAGACTGAGACCGAATACCGAGGCTCATATTTGCACTCACAGCGCGCGCGAGGGGTTTGAATACGAGCCGAAATGCGATCCGGCCTCTGCGGACTCAAACGCTGCAACCGTCCGAAAGGTTCAAGGTGTGAGTGGGTTGAACCGCTATATGTCAGAGTTGGGATTTATTGGCACATTCGAGGTGTAGAGAGGTTTTGAACAAAAACCCGGACGAGAAATCGAGTTCTCCTAACCTTGAAAGAAAGCGGTAATTCGCCGTAAAAGATCGAATCGTCCGTTTTGTCGATGTGGTTTTTCCTCGATCTAATTGCACATCCGCACATTAGACCACCTGAGGTAGAAAAGCGCCGGCAACTATGGGGCGGTACGGCGGCTCGGCTTTCTTCCCTTCCAGATCGCTTTCATCTTGCCGACATGGCACCATCGGTGATGATAAAGGCGGCCGTGGGCCCAGGTGAGCTCAAGGGTCTTTTCCTCACAGCGGGGAGCCAGGAAGACTGAAGATAACCAAGATTCGAGGTTTTATCTCGTTTCAGTGGAAGTTTAGTATTTGGAAATCACCTTTCGCTTCATGCGCGATTGCCCTCTCATCACTTTTTCTCCTTCTGCCACCTCGGCGGGTTTACGTAACACAAAGGGAGACCTTGGCGGTGTCCATTTCTGACTCAATGTGTTTGTCTGTCCTGATGAACTTTCAAAGGGTCAAAACACTCTCGTAAGGCTATAGATTTCCCATCTCTTCTTCAAAACTTCTCAATAGCTTGAGAACTCACTTACTATGCTAATGAGCAAGTAGCTAGAGTTACCCATCAGGCCATCAGAGCCTCATAGATCTCATGAATTGGCGCAAACGATCGCCGGGATCCCATTCCGAGCATTTCCGGCGGTAGTCGGTATGCTCTAAGAAGCCTCAACAATCCGTGATGTAACCGCCTAATCCGCCGTCGTTCGCCGATGTTGATCGTGTCTTATAGGACATCTAAAATTACGGTAGCCGCGCGCGTCTCGATGACAGTCCAACGGGGCCAGTTATTATATGAATGGCTATGGCATCACGTCGCAAGGCGATGAAGCCGGTTCTGCCTCGGTCGACCATACGGAAAACTCGTCCAGCGTGTGCGTTCTCGAGTTTTTCCACCTAGCTGGAGACCAGCACCGTCATTGCGCGACTAATTGAGGTCGCATAGAGTGGAGGGGAAGCTGGTTAAGCTTTGGCAATTAGCCTTAGAACATAATGACATTCCAAAATGCAGTTGCTTGGGTGGTTTACAATCAAACGAACACTGAACGACGTACTGGTTTGGATTTATGGCACGCTGGAGCATGGTTTTATGTAGTCGACTTGCGCGGGCGTGAACAAGCAGGGAAAACAAGGGGAGTAGTAGCGGCTTTGGTTGTTTCTTCGCTCTTTCCAATGGTAAAGCGCTCTTTTTCCTAGCGCTTTGTTGTGAGGGCGACATTTCAAGATGCTGAGTTGCAGAAATCTGCTGAGAACGTAAACTGAGGATGCTTTTTTGCCGTGGAAAATACTATTGTAATAGAACGCATGTCTTGGCAAGAAGAATGAGATTCAAAGTTTCTTGAACATCGAAGGGTTTCGATGCACTAGGAAATACTAGCTGTGAGAGGCTGGAGAAAAATGGTCCCGTACGCTTTATGTGCGCTGACCTTCTCCTCTTTCTCTGCGACAGCGTCCTTGTCACTTGCCGTTGTACTATCTTTGAAGTGGCACGCGAGCGGCTAAAGTTTTCAAATTTTGCTTTACAACGGCCATTGGCTCCGTTGCGACGCGATTTCGATAGCCGCTGGCGACAGTTGGCAAAGTTGGACGATTTTATCCGCGCTCAACACTTGACTAATTAATCGGTCTATGCCAGTGGGAAACAAAAGCTTCTGAGAGGGTTTGTACACTGAAAGGTGGTGGTGTAACGTCCGAGATGTCTGATCGGACTTCAAACAAGAAGGCTAGATAAACGAAACATAGTGCAGGCGAAGTCGTCGCAAAGTGAGCAGGTGCAGGTTGTACCAGTAAGATGCAGGCAGATCCGCATCTCTGAAGCGTGTTTTCAGCTGATTTCTTAGGATTCGTTATGTTTGTTATGCTTAATGCAAATGTAACGACTCCTAAGATTTCAAATGTGGTCGGTTGCCGATGAATAATTCTGAAAAAATTCCATAGTTCGTTGCAGTAGTTATATCTAGATGATTACAGAAGGAGGATCGCGGTCTATAAGCAGGTCGGGTTTTCTGCCGCATGCGGAAATCAGTCCTTCGAGCAGAGGAGGAAAATAACAGCCACTTCCACCAACCCTTCACTGGAACGCCTTGGATTGCTTTTCCCAATAAGGGTCCAATTTCTCCCCCCCCCCCTGGTGGTTAAATGCGCAAGGTTGATGAAATTTCCCTGTCTTAGGCTCGATTTAATCTGAACATTATCTTAGGAGTAGGAATTCAAATTGAATTAAGGCCAACACTCTTCTTAAGTGGAATATGTGAAGTCGTTAGCATTGCTAATGATATCGTTGGGCTTAGTGACTAAGATTGCTAGCGCCTGCATGTTGAATCGTCTTGCAACTTCATTAGCATAGCCACATCTGCGCACATTAGCAGCGTCTTCGGAAATATGGAGCCAAAACGAATTAATCATTCGCCGTTCTTCGGCACGAGGCATTCATGAATGTGACGAGTTCCGGGGAGATGAGCGGTTTTGAATTGAAAATTGAAGGTTAACGAATTTCCAATGAGTCAATGTTTTAACTCGAAATGTCATCAGCCATTTCTCGTAACTCTTTCTCCACTTTTCCATGAACCTACGTAATGATTCGCATTTCGGAAGATATTTGAGAACCTCTATTGTTTCGTAGACAGAAACCCAGAGCCTAATTGCGTGCATTTTTTTCAAAAAAAAAACGTGGGCGCATGCCTGGCAGTGCTTCTCCGAAATTAACCAAAAAACCTAAGTCAACCGCCAATGACAGACGGGATCTGTTCGCTCATTGTCAATCACTACTGCCCGAGAACTTGACGGTGACAGTGTTGACAGCAGTGAGGTATAAACAATGCGGCAAACATTCCTATCCTTTTCCTAGAAGACGTTCCAGAAGCTAGCAATGGCCATAACTGGAGAATTTTGTACGGTATCCTCTACTTCGTATTTCTTCTGTGCACTCGAGCTTCGACAGTTGTCAGCAGGGGCGAGAGGCACTAAGTCTCCAATTTTTAATGGTTTGGTAAGGCCTAGAGCGCCCGCGAATGGTATGAGGCTCCAGGGGAAAACTATCTTAATCTGCTCAAATCTATTGGCGCTAGCGATGTTCGTCAACTTCAATTTCAAGCCCTCAGCACTTCGGGGGGGGGGGGCGGGGGGGGGGGGGAGAGGAGGGGGCAGGTGCGCTTAACGCTTGAGGCGTCAAATTTTGATGAAATTTAAGATCACTTTGAAGTTCGCAAAACTTTGTCTAGGTTCTATTTTTCCGAAAATTTCCTTCCTCATGTATTTCACAAGTACATTTCTTCACTCCTTTCTTTAAATGAGACCAATCCTCCGAGAATCACGGAAATACTTGACACTACCTCTCTTGTTCGATTTGCTCGCGCGGCCGTCGTTGATCCTGCTTCTCGCTTTTCATGTTTCTTGAGTGTCCACTGAGAAGGCGCCCGTAACATCATGATAACTTTCACGCCCATAAACAATCTTTAATCTCTCTCCTGCGTCTCAAATTGCAACACCCCGAAAATTTCAAAGAATCTTGGTCGTTCTGGGCACGTGTGAGAGCAATGTTTCCGTTCGTGGCGCAGCTATCAAGCACTAAAATCGTTCGCCGTCACGCTACGGAACACGGTGCGATTTGACGCAACATACGCGGCGACAGCGGCGGTGGCGGTGGCGGTAGTAGCGACGACGTTACGCTGGTCGTGTAAAGATCGTATCTGCATGCGTTTTACGTTCCGTGACCCCGGGAACGCACGGCTCGAGAGAACTACCGCCGTTTTATCGCACTAGCCGACGTGGCGATGGTTAGTGGTTTTTTCTCACTGCCCATCCATTAATGCAAAGATAGTAATGTTCGTACCGATGGAAAGTACAGGATTACCTTGAACGTGAGTCATGGCCAGGTAATAGGGTTCGAGTTTATGGTAATTGTTGACTACAAACGGTATTGTTGGCCAATGCAGGTACATAAAATAATCCGTCTAACGTCTATAAGGAATATCGATATCGTTGGTTTTCCTTCGTTAGGAAATGCCGAGGCGATCGAATGTGTCTCAACAATGGACCAACAACGCTTCCTTTGAGCGTAGTTTAACTGGAATTTTCAAGTACAAGGATACTGTAGAGAAAATTTATATCTTTTCTTCCATATCGTCCAGCAGTGCAAGCAACCATAGTGCTATTCGCACAAGTGGAATTTTCACGATTATGATGAAGCCCAAATTACTTCTCGACCCCACTATGGTTATGCGCCAGACATTGGAATTGTCCTTTCGCAAATCTAGACTCATGAAATGGGTATATGGATAGTGCGACAAAGAAGAGCTTCTTCAATATGAGCACCACTGTCGCTCGTAAGACTGTTAAGGCTGGTGTCAGAGTCCGCGATTTTTTGCGCGATTTTCGCGATTTGCGCGATTTTCGCGATTTTCGCGATTTGCGCGATTTTCGCGATTTGCGCGATTTTCGCGATTGTCGCGATTTGCGCGATTGTCGCGATTTCGCGATTTTCGCGATTTTCGCGATTTTCGCGATTTGCGCGATTTTCGCGATTTGCGCGACGGGTCACGGAAATTACAAGTGCCCCATCCATACTGCAAGGTGTTCTCCAATCCCGCCGTCACTTCTGCTTGATGGTTATGGTTTAATGGAGACTGCTCATGATTCCACTTGTTTCATATCCAGTGTTTCAATTGTTCAAATGGGGCACTTGCAATTTTTGTGATTGGTTTGGTTTGATTCCTGAAAAAAAAATAGGAACGATTCAAGAGCATTTCAATGAACTAATAGACATTGAACATGAAACAAGTAGAACCACAAACATTCGTCTTCCAATCTTTACTGCCAAGCAGAATTCGCAGCAGGATTAAACAACACCTCGCAGTATTCATCGGGCACTTCCAACTCCTGTGATCCATCGCAGGTTTCGCGAAAATCGCAAAAATCGCGCAAATCGCGAAAATCGCGAAAAATCGCGAAAATCGCGAAAATCGCGAAAATCGCGACAAATCGCGAAAATCGCGACAAATCGCGAAAATCGCGACAATCGCGAAAATCGCGCAAATCGCGAAATCGAATCGCGCAACTCTCGACAACGCAGCCTAAGATACTGTAAGCGGCCTAAAAGTACGTCACACTTATCACGACCACCCAGTTACAGAATGTGTGTTTATCGCGCAATTATTATAGAACTCCCCTGCCTAACGCTCTGTCGACGTCTTTTTAGCATACTCTTCATAAACCGTATCGTCTAGTATGGTTACAAGTTCGATGTGTTGAAATGGGTGCAGTATGTACAATAGGCTGTGAGACTGGTGTACCGGATGCCGGTAGAGTCATGAATTATGCGACGAGATGTCTCGTAGTCAAATATGGCCCGATGATGACAACCCGGCCGGCGACATCCGGAAAACTGACCGGCGCGTGTCAGCGCTATAATTTGTCCTCTAACGCCTTTTTTGTGTTTGCTGAATGTTTCAAGGCCAGTGAAAGAGGAACGGGACCGGATGCCGTGGTTTATGGATGAAAAGAGCTAAGTTTGAGCAGACAGGTCATTATAAGGGTTCATTTAGAACTAGGTTGGATTTAGGTAGGGCGTCTGGGAAAACGACGTCATGCTTGATATGTTTGACATGCAGAAAACCAGATCATATGGATCCTGAGAATAGGAGAGCCTGTTGCCCTGAACAGCCTAAGCTCATCGTTGACGCCATCCAGCTCGAATGTGACACCTGTTGCAGCTTCTAATGCATAACGAACAGGGTTGGCTGACTTTTTTTGCCGTCTAGCCGGCTACGAATCAACCGCGGTCGAATCGCGTTACGTGTGAATACGTCGCTAATGTCCGGCGGACGACTCAGAGCGACATTATGGCGTGAGCATCGTCGTTGTCCGTGAGGTCCCT